AGATTGGGAAATTTTTTTTTTTTTGATGGAATGTTGCAATGTCTCGATGTCTAACTTGAAAATGTGAGCAAAGACAAAAGAGTTAATATCAGTCACGGGACAGAAGTGTCTAGGAAGTAACTTACTTGAACAACTTATTTGTCTAGGGAATCCTGGTTGATTCTCAACCAGGGGCCAGGGCCTGTTACGGGGCTTTGGTAAACTTTCACATCTAAAAAAACATGTTTTTGCTTCCACCCCAAAAGGGATATAATACATATACAATTTACTAATTATGCCAAGCTCTATAATGCATAATTATATATAATTGCATAGCCCTTATCAATGTCTGCAGGAAATACCTCTGCTTTTTCAGCTTTCTAACGCTGAAAAAAGCACGTTTTTCACACCGGCCTTGCAAAGGGCCATGGCAAATGATGTAAAGTGAGCCTAATAACACTCCAATGCGATCTTAAGTAGAATAATAAACATTAAATAATATCAAACATCTACATTCACTATATTATCCAGTCTCCGCTGTAGCTCCCGTGACCTAAATTCCCAGAATGCATTGCCGCTGTGACAACACATTCCCATTCTCTATTAACAGTGAAGCTGTGACTTTAATTCCTTTAGAAACAATGATGTTACCAGCTCCTTGTTGTTGGGAAAGATAATGTAGCTCTTGAGCGATTAAGCTATTTTATTGATAAAATTGCGGGGCAGCGCTAAAAAGTTGTGTGAAGTTGTGTTTCTGAATGTCTGTGCATGCGCAGCGTGATCTAGTGACTAAACGTGTTCGCGTGAGATTCAGTGAAGACTCATTAGTTTAGAACTCTTCTCATTTTTATTTTTTTTAAATGTAGAGAGTGTGTTAATACAGTGGTTCCCAACCCTGTTCCTGGAGGCACCCCAACACTGCACATTTTGCATGTCTCCTTTCTCTGACACACCAATTTCAGGTCTTGGAGTCTCTACTAATTAGCCGATGACCTGAATCAGGTGTGTTTGATTAAGGAAACATGCAAAACGTGCAGTGTTGGGGTGCCTCCAGGAACAGGGTTAGGAACCACTGTGTTAATATGTGCAATGATAACCTACCAGCAATGTTAAGATGATTAAAAAAAATATATATTAGTATGAGTACATTACAATATAAATTTATTAGAACGAGTACATTATTATTTATGGGCTTAAAAACAAGATGCAAACAATCAGAATATTGTACCTGGTGGGGAGTGCCCAATGTAAACATGAAACAAATGCCATTACCTATATTGTACCGTGGTACAGTTATGGAGGCCCTTCATAATGCAGAGGTCAACTGCCTGCTCTGCCTATAGTTAGCAATGGCCCTATAGTATGCAGTGTTTAATAAACAGCTGTTTTACTAACTTCTGCTGAGGTCAAATTCAGTGCAGTCCTGAATCGTGATATGTATCGTGGCCTCTGTATCGGGATGCGTATCGTATCGTGACTTTGCTGGTGATACACAGCCCTAGTACTGAACACTTGTACAGATGACTTCATGCATTTTTTTAAAAATTTTCTGTCAGATTGTTGTGTCAGTGTGGTCTGGATGTGAGTGCTAAAGACTATGATGGCTGGACTCCTCTCCATGCTGCTTCTCATTGGGGTCAAAGTGAAGCCTGCCGTCTTCTCGCTGAGCAACTGTGTGACATGGAGGCCCATAGTAATGGGGTGAGTGAGAGAGAAAAAAAATGTGCTAAACATTTAGCACCAAATTCTTTTGGCCAGTAACAAAGCTGTCTTCCTTAGGCATGTGTTTACCAGCCTTAAAGTAATAGTTCACTGAAAAATTTAAATTCCAAACCAGTATGACTTTCTTCTGTGGTACATAAGATATTTTGTGAATGTCTCAGTGTTTTTTTAAAATCTTCAAACATTGTTCAAAATATCTTCCTTTGTTTTCCGTATAAGAAAGTAAGTCATACAGGTTTGGAACAACATGACAGTGAGTAAAAAATTACACAATTGTCAATTTCAGGTGAACTAACCCTTTAAGAGCCGCATCATCTGTAGGGCCACATTTATATTTCAGGATAATTTTATCTTATTTTATCTAGCCTATTTCTATGTTTTGTAAAATAAAGGATACATTTTAGATCAGTTATCAAGAAATATGGTAGCAATAGCCAATATGCTGTAATTCTAAATAAAATAAATGCACTGTAGTTGTAAATTGGAATATAAAGGCAAAAGTTGAGGCCTGATATGTGCACAGAAATAAGTGCACAGCAGGAGTCATGCACTCTTAAAGGAAGAGGAAGTGTGGAGCTTCTGTTCTGTGTCAAAATGCACCACAGTTCTGCAGCCAGCAGCAGCACTGCAGTTAGCCATAGCTCTGTTTCACAATGTGTGTGGGTGGGTGTGTGTTTGTGTGCATGTGCAGGGAAATTATAATAACTGAAACTGCTGTTTTGTTTTGTTTTTAAGGGTCAGACTCCATTTGATGTGGCGGATGAGAGTGTTGCGTCTTTACTGGAAGAACTGTCTCAAAGACAGGCTAATGTGAGAACACACACACCTTTATCTAAAACAATATGTCATTTTAGACCCACAAGGAAGAAATTCACAGCTTACTATATGTAATGTAGCAGGCCTAGTTAACTAATGGCCTGCAGGCTGAATCTGGACATTTTGAAAAGGTTGTCAGTTATTTCTCATATAACTTTTATTACTGTGATTTTTTTATATATATATACAGGTGCATCTCAAAAAATTTGAATATCGTGAAAAAGTTCTTTTTTTTAATTGTAACTTATTTCAAAAAGTGAAACTTTCATATATTCTAGATTAAATACATGTAAAGTAAAACATTTCACAAGTTTTTTTTCATTTTAATGATTAGAGCTCACGAAAGTCAAAAATCCAGTATCTCAAAATATTAGAATATTTCCTAAGATCAATCAAAAAAGGATTCGCAAAACAGAAAAGTTCAAGTTCTTTAAAGTATGTTCATTTATGCACTCAATACTTGGTCGGGGCTCCTTTAGCACAAATGACAGCATCAGTGAGGTGTGGCATGGAAGCGATCAGCCTGTGGCACTGCAGAGGCACTACTGAGCCTTCAGCTCTTCTGTATTGTTGGATCGACTGTTTCTCATCTTTCTCTTGAAAATATCCCATAGATTCCATATGGGCTTCAGGTCAGGCATGTTGGCTGGCCAATCAAGCACAG